TCAAGGGCAAACACAGCCTGACAGGAAAAGCTAGGAACACAACTCTACTGAGAGAAATGTAACTTGTTTCATAGGTGTCCCTCAAGGATGTATTATACTGTAGGTTCTTTTTAAATGTCAATAGTAAATATGCAGATGACACAGTCATTTAAATATATTCAAATTCACCTCTTTAGTTAAATAAGTAAATATGGAGAAAAGTGCAGATTGATGACTGACTCAGGCTTGAATCGAATGAAGAGGATTTATGACATTCAACATGTTAAAAAACAAGTTGTGATTGTTTCCTATCATTATTTGAGGTAAGACAGAAATAAGAACCAGATTTCTATTTGCTTTTGTCATACTACCGTAAAGAAGTTGTATCATACTGCATTATCTGCTTTTCTCATATTTGTTTTGGCCAGTGACTTTGGCATATTCAACTTGAAAATAAGTAACACTAGCCTACACCCTACAGCGTACAGTAAGTGCACCATAAAACTAAACAATTGGTACAATTGAGAACATTCTGTTATTTTTCTACCAAAGTTTCACCTAAAGGTAGATTTTACAGGTGTAAATTGTTACTGTAAAAAATACTGTAAATTGTTTTCCAAAAGGGCTACGAGCTGTTTATTTTGGATGCTTTTGCGAAAAATAAACGTGTTTTTAGCCACAAATGTTGAGTAAATGCTCCCAACCAGACAGAGTAAAGGGTTGGTTTAGTGGAACAAAAAAAGGATTTATGGAAATGCCGCAAATTCAGGGTTATTTCAGGACCAGTCGCAGCATAACAGGAAGCAGAGGATGACGAAGATGATAATTGAGCTTAGTCACCCAACGCAGCTTTGTTCAGGTTACAATGCAGTTGTTGTGACAGAGAAAAACTGCCGTGAGGTTTTCACCTGTCTACTTAAGCAACACAGGGCAGGGCATCAGATGGGAGGTTTGCACCATCATTCAAAGCCTTTCTGATCTCACCAGACACTTGGTCTTAAACCCATTGCAAAATAAGGGTAAGAGTGGGTTTATTCCATGTCTTGAACCTAGGACCGCAGACAGTATTTCAGTAGGCTGATTCATCTGTGTGACATCATAGTGGTGTCTCAATACAGGAGAAGCTGATTCATGTTCTGTCAAGTAAACTGTGAGTATTTTACTCCATATAACTGTGTTAGGTTAGTTGAAAGCAATGATATTAAGTTGAAATACAATCATATTAGGTTCAACTTAATAGTATTGCTTTTGTGAACTAACGTAATGTGTTGACGTATAACACATTTAATTACAGCCACGTTTCCGTTTGTTCAGTGCACAGAGAAACCTGAAACAGAGGCCCAGACGAGAGCAGCTGATCATCTTCTCTCTCTTTGAGAAAAAAAGGATCAATACAGCAACCCTGTTAATGGATTCCTTCATCTGCAGCGTTCATTAAAGAACGTTTGAGAGAGAAAAACAAACAAATAGAGTTTCGAAGACAGCGGGGGGGGGGGAATGATGGAGAATACTAAGAATGAGAAAGAGACAGAGGGAGCGATAAACAGAGACAGCCGGAGCGCAGGTTTCCACAGATATGGATGGTTTGAGGGGTCGATCGTTACCCAGACACCGCCTGCCTGCCTGCCCGCCTGCCTGCCTGCCTCCAACGCCTGATTGCCTGGCACACATTTGCATTAGAGTTGAGAGGAGCCGAGCAGAAGAGCACAGCCGGAGAAGTGTTTGATCTCTCAGCCTCTGTCTGATGCACCATGTGGAAACACACCAGCACATTTGGAAACGAGGAGATGATGTTGGGTGTTAAGTGGATGTGTGTGAGAGAGAGAGAGAGAGAGAGAGAGAGAGAGAGAGAGAGAGAGAGAGAGAGAGAGAGAGAGAGAGAGAGAGAGAGAGAGAGAGAGGAGTGTGTGTGTGTGTGTGTGTGTGTGTGTGTGTGTGTGTGTGTGTGTGTGTGTGTGTGTGTGTGTGTGTGAGCATGTGTGATCTCCACGAGAGAAATGACATATGTAGCGGGAATGATACTGCAAATCTGTCAGGACCTTGATTGCAGTCCAAATGAGCACAGACGCCAGCATGGGTTGCCCTATTTTGTTAAAGTTAAGTGCATTCAAGCAGGAGCGGAATGGAAAACTCTTGCCCGGGTTTTTTTAGGATTATCAAACATCACGGCGGCTCTGAAAAACCTACAACTGTCAAGCAACAGATTTACATCCAACCCCATCACCACGCTTGCTCGGGAAATGGCATTTCACACTTCCGTCTGGGTTCACATTCGAGGCAGTGCACCGAGATAATCTGCGGATTTCAACTGTGTGCGTGTATCGATAACATTTTCTCCCCGTCTGCCTCTCTTCCTCACCCTCCTATCTCTCTTCTAGCCCTCGCTACCTCGCCTCTCCTCCCCTCCTATCTCGCACTCCACATCTCTTCCCTCCTCTCTCCGACCTGTCAGGATGATTTCAGGCTTGTTGCGTCTGGCCTGACTTAGGGTGGTAAGATTGAAGCAGTAATTACAACAGTCTCTGAATAGCTCTTCCTCCCACAGTGAAACCTCACTACCTATCATCCACAGGCTTAACCCGGCTCTCCATGCTGACATGCAGGGGCCGGACAACAGACTTGTGTTGAAAACCATTAACCCACAATTAAATTACAATCACCATAACAAAGGACGGGTGACATTTAAATCCACCAATTGAGGAGGGATTAGGAGTAAAGAGCACTTCTCTTGGGGTGTGTTATCATCTAAATATGACAGGGTGGATAAAGGAAATGTGAATTAATCAAATATTCCACGGTATCTACCAGTGGGGCACTCTTTATGACTGGGTAGACTTATCTTCTCTACAAGTTAAGCCCAAGTGTATTACAGGATGTGCCGAAGTAAGATTTGTCACAAAGGGAAAGGAGGTGTTGCTTTCACTCCTCTTCACCTCCTTATGTGAGACTTTAATGAGAAGCTGTAGTTCCCGGGTTGGATATTAAACTGGAATAGGATGAGGAGAGGAACAGAGGTGTTGGATCATGAAGCTCACACCAATTATATCTGGCGCCATTTTAGAGAACCAGCTCCAGAAAGATAATGATAACATTATGTTGCCCCAGGGTGAGCAAAAGTGATACCTGAGAGGCAGCTGCCTGTAGCCACGGCTGGGCAATAAGCCAAAAATACATACCTTAACTTGTACCTTGGACTGTTGAATTGTCCAATGTATAGAAATGCATGACAGCAGGCTGTATGTAGGGACAGTGCGGCTTTGAGCTAAATGCTGACATGCTCACAGTGACAATGCTTATCGTCTATGCCAGGGGTGCCCACACTTTTTCAGCTTGGGAGCTACTTTTAAAATGACCAAGTCAAAGTGATCTACCTACAGGGCCGCCCCTGCCCAAAGTCATGTGGCGAGGCCCTGTGTGTCACGAGCGGGGGACGACGACGACACGCTTACACTTATTGTGCCGCATTTGCGCTTCAGATGAGGAGGTGAGGCCCCCCTTATACCCTTTCTTTAGTAGAATTGTATAAATTGGAAGGCTCGCTGGTGATTTGCAGCTGGCGCATGCGTGGTGAACTGCGTGTTAGAAAATATGAGATCTCAGACTGGCTTACCTGTACGTCAATCAAGTGGCAAATGCCATAGTAAGGATTTTTTTCAAACTTATTTTTTCAATTCCATGCGATACCAACACTACCTTCGCGATCGACGTCTTGGGCCCCCCTGGTCTATGCGAATGCTAGCACGCTTAATATTACCCACGTTCAATGTCTTTAATTGTGTTGGCATATGCTCATTAACACTGATGGAAACTGAGGCATGTAGATACGCGGTTATGACCAAAATAAAGGGAAAAATTCAAATATTGACCTAATGATGAATAGCAACGTTATTACTCTATTTCATAAAAGGAAAACAAATTTGTTTACCAAATGTTATGGCAATCCAGCCTGAGGCGCTATATGCAAAGTCATGGGATCACAACTTTTTGCTGCTCTATAACAAAGAAAGACTTGCATGGTTCAGGTCTTATTTTCTTTTAATAATCTAGTCTTTCGTTTTTTGTAAAGCACTTTGAATTGCCTTGTGTTGAAAGGTGCTATATAAATAAACTTGCCTTGCCTTGCCTTGCCTAGAAGGAAGTCTGTCTAATATAACATAATTTACTCTGATTAAAGGGTTCTTTGATACGCAGTGATTGTTGCTATTGACTGACATGCAGGCTCTTAATGCACACAAACCAAAGAAAACTGTCAAACACAACCTGAAATTGAGCAAGGAACACGAGAAAAAACCCGAATGGTTTCTCAATATCGTGCAGCACTAGATCTAATAACTAAAAGTGGGCTGACCAGGGCTACCAAACGAACAATATTCACAAAACCCAAAGCTAGCATATGGCTGAAAAGTGCTACATTTAAACGGGTGAGACAAACAATTAACATTCAATACAATGTGGAAAAAGTCATGGTTCCCAAATTGGGTTTGTGCTTCATTGGGTTAAAACCAATTCAAGCTGTAGAAAGCGAGCATGCAAATCAGGTGTTGACAATAGGTATAACAACACATAAAATGGATCAGATGAATAACAAATCGGCGCCTAAGGACTTCCAACATGGCCACTAAAAGATGCACCGTGTCACCTTAAAGCCATGCGAGGTGAAACGCCTGCTCAACTTTTGGCTCTGACACAGCAGAATGATGTCAGCCTTCAGTTGAACATCAAGGTTGTGCTGAAAGGAAAGCAATTTGATATAGCCAGAGAGGAGATTGAGGAAATGAGATGGATGTTGTGAGGGGAGTGAGTGGGTGGTGGGATGCGAAAAGGAAGTCGTTGCAGGTAAAAGGCTGCATAGGTGGTGTGTTACGCTGAAATGGCACCCAAGCTTTAACAAGATACGAAAGAGATTGCTTTTTCTTAAAGAGAGTGGACTTGACACTGTTGGAGGAGGAGCGAAAGAGGACGTCGTTTAACCAGAGCAACAATGGAGATAGTGGGAAGTCTTATTTAAACAGATAGGACACTTACTTCATGGGTTTGAAGAGAGCCTGGCCGTAGTTCTGGAAGGTCATGATGAGCTTCAGCTGAGTGCCTCCAGACTTCATTGCTGTTGAAGGGAAACAGACCACACCGCCATTAACAATAGATCACCCAAACTGTGCATATTTATTATACAGTACGATCATTATTTTACCTAAGAGAATAGCTGAAGTAATGGGCTAACAGTTTGTGGTTTAACCCAAATTGACTCGCCGAAGTTTAGTTTTAAAACACACAAATTGGCAGATTTGATAAGCTAGAGAGCCAGTGGTGTTAGCTTGTTAGCCTAGCTGACCTTCAAGAATCAAGCTAGCAAAGCTAGTGATATTTTAGGTTAGCTAAATACATTTTTTGTAATCAAAATGAATAACTGAATATTATAACACACTGCCTTCAATCTTTTAACCAGTGTTCAGCTTTTGCCCAATCAATTTAGCCTTTTTTTTTATGTCATTGTACTGTAGCTATTAGCTTTGTTTAACCTCCCAAGCATCTCCGCAGTGAAAAGAACGATTAGACAACGTCAGGAAATAGAAACATTGAACAGCAGAAATTCAATCAACCCAGTGAGATTTTTTAAATAGTAATTTTTTTACATAATAATTAGAATTTATGATAATCTCTCTCTGTTTTGACAAGCTGGAACAAGTACATATTTAAAGAGCTGCCAAAACATTTTTTTATATAAATATAAAATGCAAAGCACGGTCAAAGAAAAGTATGTTCATAAGGTTCCATTACTTCATCTAAACTGATTAACAAGTAACAAGAACAGACATTATGTCCATACACAAATTTGAATTTATTATGTTTATTTTAACTAAATGCAGTATTGACTGACATTGATTTCACATTTCAGATGTCATAGCACGCCCAAAGGTTGAAACATTTCCTGTGCGGTGTTGGTGAAGCACACTGTTGTGTATGTGCACTTGTGTGTAGATGTGTTTGTGAGTTTTAGTGTGTGTTGTAGCGCTGATGTTACAGTGTTTGTTTGATAGGAAGAGAGCGTGAGGGGGTGAAGGACGCTCACTGTACCTCTGCTGTTTACTCTTTTCTCTGTGTATTCTCCGGAGGGTCCAACTCAATCTCCCTCTGTCCCTTTGTGTTCCTACTCATCCGTCTATCCTTCCTGTTTTCTCCCTTTTTGTACGTTATAATGCACTCTAAAAGCACTCATGGGGCTGGGGACGGGATTTCTCAGGGCTGAAATACAGCGAAATTCTCAAAAAAAGGGGAGAGCAGCAGCTGTTCTCTTTTTCAGCTGATCGATCGAAAGCCAAAGAGCAAGCCTCTCAATCAATGTTCTCATTCATTTTTACATATGGGAATCACGAGGACAAGAAACATTTTCACAGAGAGAGAAATTACAAGAGGAAAGATCAATGTCCGTCTCGCCTCACCTGCTTCTGTGCGAAGAGATTTCCCTGCGGATGTTTGGAGGGACTTTAAATAAAGGCAAATATAACTAACAGACAGAAGCTGTGTACATGAACCATGCAAATAACATAATGCAATAAGGAAACTGTATTTGACAAAACATGATTACCTTCGTCCCAACAAAGTTACATATAATGTGTAATCACATCATATCTGCTGCTTTTGCACGCTATGTCCTTATTGATGAACGCTGCTGAGGTTAGAGCGTATAATACTTTGGAGCACTCCTATCCTTGAGTTTAGATAATAACCGACTGCTTTTGGCTTCTATTGGTATTCTGCCCCAGGCCTGTGTTAAAGCTCTATAATTACTGAGCCACCATGTATTTAGCTGGCTAGAGACGCTGAGAAATGCTTCCTCTATCCACCCAGCCCGACAGACAGAAAGCAGGAGGGAGAAAATCGGGGAACAAATTGAGTATAAACAAGAAATGAAGGAAGGAAATTCTTCATTGAGTAACAACGCTGGGGTGCTAGTTTTAAAAACAGCGTATCAACTCCCGGATAAGTATTTGGCGAACAGTTTTGTCATTTGGCAGATGAACCTGAAATCTGCAATCACTTTTCAAAGCTGAGCGCAAGATAGAGCGACCTTGAGTCGACAAGCACTCTTGGAATGTGGGAGCTGCACTGAACAAAAATAGGAATACAATCTCTCTTGGAATAGGAAAAAAAACATTCCTTATAACTGCCACAGTGTGGTTTATTCAGCTCTGTCAGGTATCTGTGTGCAGCGCAGGCTTTCTGCAGAGAGCTGTTTTCACCGTGCACTTGTCAATCAAACGATAAAGCCACAGCGTTTGATTCGGATCAAACCTCGATGGGTAGCTGTGTGATTTGCAAGGAGACCGGGTGTTCTGATATATTCTGCTGTGACGTGTTGTCGTGGGGATACATGAGAGGAGATTGTGGTGTTGTATTATTCTCTCAGCCAGTTGTAAGACATGAGAAGGGAGCAGGCAGAGCACATTCACAATCAGATTGTCGTACAATAGCCTGCAGCTGACTTCCATCTTTATGCATACTTTCGTGTGTGTGTGTATAGTGTATGTGTTCACGTGTTCAGTGCCTGTTACATTAGAGGTACTTGTTCCCCTCTGGCTGTCTTTCGATTTACATTAAAGGTGGGGTAGGTAAGTTTGAGAAACCGGCTCGAGATACACTTTTTGTTATATTCCATGGAATGCTCTTAACATCCCGATAGCAATGAATATCTGAAGTGCTTTGACAAAAAATCCATAAAAAAAAGTCATCTGTGGAAGCCGTGGCGCTGTAAAAAGCTCGACCAATCATCTGAGCCGGCCCGGCTAAAGTAGCTGGATGGCCTACCTGCCTGTCAGCCTTCCATCTGTGCACAAACTTATCTCGTTCCCTCATTGGTCATGTGCGCGTTCCTGTGTGTTGGAGGAGGGGCTCTGTAAGGAAGTAGCAGACTTCTTCCGGCTGTGTATTTTTAAATTCTAGCGCACTCGAGCTGGTTTCTCCAAAATGACCTACCCCACCTTTAAGTGTTGACTGATCATTTTGGAAACTGTTTGTAACATGTGGGCACTGTCCCCTAATGAAAACTAATGGATATTGGCTATGCTGCACTTTTTGCTCTACAGATATTTAGATTTGACCTGAAATGTCATATAAATTACAACAAGGCTGAGATTCAGTCAAACAGACAACACTGCTGACATTCTCATATCTTTACACTTTGACCTCTGTGCAGCAAACAGACACACCTAGCGACTGGATAACCAAAACGACACATCCATGAGCAAAACCAATATCTGTGTCCTTCAGTAGACCTTGATCAAGAGACTGAAATACTTAGTAGCTTAAAACCTAAACGAAGATCTTAATTCTATCATCTTAATACCTCTTAACACCCAGAAATGTACACCATGACAACTGAAAAGCAGTGCAAACTCATCTCTGCAGTATCAGCTTGGTGTCTTCAGAGTCAAGTGTAATTTTGACCCTCCATCTGCACTGAAGCCCTCCTGCTGCTAACTGCTGTTTGCCATCCAGTAATCCCCCCCCCCCCACCCTCCTCCTCCTCCTCCTCCTCCTCCTCCTCCCTCTGTTTCTTATGACTCACCAACGCTGGTGATCTTCTGGCTGACCAGGTCCTTTAGGAGAGCGTCGATGACCGGGTTGTGCCTGGAGTACAGCTCGTATCGGTTAATCCCAATGTGGAAGCGGAGCCAGTTGGGGTAGGAGTCGGACGCCAGCTCCCCTGTTGGGCTGAACTCCTCCTGGTTGCCTTCAGTATTCCTGGGTGAGGAGAGGATATGGAGAAATGGGAATGTGACTTTTTTCTGTAAACTGGGGCTGTCCTCGACTCATAAAACTATGATGTTGTCATAGGAGTGTTTGTCAAAAAGTATATTAGGTGATTTAAACAACAGCTATGAGTTTTCCCCAGAACAATCCAGCAGAAAGCACCACTTAAAATCTTGTGTTTACCAAGTCAATAAATGGCTTGGAAATAAGCAATTCAGAGGGGGAAAAAGCTTAAAAGATGACTCATCGTCTCAAGAATTCTCAGTCAAAACGACCAATTAGAGGAGGCAGCATAATGTAAACAGTGACAGGTGTTGTGCAACATATGCACAATTACATTACTGTGATTGCACAGAACTAAACATAAGCCTATAAATGTGTGATTACATTCCCAAATTTGTATTTAAACTTTGCATTAGAGTTGATTATGATAAGACTTTAAAACGCTTCTTTTTTTTTACCATGCCTGATCCTCTGCAGCTTTGGGATCAAATCTGAGGTCCGTGTTGACGTTGAACAGCGTGTCCTCGTCGGTCAGAGTTGGCGGGGATCTTTTATATAAGGGGTGGTCGAAGAGAGCCGACAACCTTGAACCCCTCACCGGCATGTTTTTGTTTACGTCCTGGATGAAATGTCTCTTTCTGTCTGCGCGTTGCCCGAGATGCTCCAGCCTCCTGAGAGCCTGCGTTTTGTCTCCTGTGGCCGGGATCCTTTCCAGGGAGTGGGAGGAAACATTGGAGCTGGGCTCGTTGCTGAAGTCCTGGAGGATCCGCAGCGTGTGCTTGTTAGGCCAGCCCTGTTTCCCCCAGTTCTGAGGCTCCTCGCTCGGCGTGTGGGAGCACGAACAGCCGTTGTTCCCGTGCCTCTCCAGCTTTGGTAACAAGTCTATCATTATGTGCATGGAGCACGCAATCAGGAACACCATAAGGATCAAAACCCGGAATTTGCGCAGGAGGATCATCTTCATGGTCTCCCTTTTGAGCAGATGTGAATATTTACTGCAAATTATGAGCACGCAGATGAACAGGCTCACTACATCGCTGATTATGTTTATTAGACTGGACGCTAATCTAATGAAATACACACTAAACAGGTAGGAGACATCTTCGCTTGCCGTCTTCAGTAGAGGATTCAGTGTTCAGCCTTTTTATATTTTTTCAACATCTGAGTCCTGCTTTAGTGCGCGCAGGAGATTTCAGAAGCGCAAAATCATCCGCGAGCGCCCAGGTAAAACGCGGTGAGTCGGTTCAGACCAACGGTGGATGTGCGCAAACCACATCATCTATACTGCGCAGATCTCCACCAAATACCTCACAAGGAATACAGAGTAAGTTACTCCAAAAGCAGGATCCGTGTCGTAGAGTGTGCACCATCCAACCTCGATCAGCTGGGGAAAGCGTTCGGGAAGTGCAAACTCTTTACATTTTAAATGCTCTTCGGGAAAGTCCCCGCAAAAGTAGTCTGTGCTCTCATCCACCTCGCCGATCCAGCATGCGTAATATCTCTGTCACGTCGACTTATCACCCGAGCCGATACGGAATAAACTGCACAGGTAGCAGATCCTCCCGTAGGGCACGGCAGGAGTTACAGCGTGTGTGCATCTGGGGTGGGTGTGTTAAATATGATGATGAAGCTAGGACTAGATCCAGCCTTTTGCGTAGCGTCACTGTGCGCAGATTGGCTGAACGGAGAGAGAGAGAGAGAGAGAGAGAGAGAGAGAGAGAGAGAGAGAGAGAGAGAGAGAGAGAGAGAGAGATAGAGAGAGAGAGGAGAGAGAGAGAGAGAGAGAGCGAGAGAGAGAGAGAGAGAGAGAGAGAGAGAGAGCTAGAGAGAGAGAGAGAGAGAGAGAGAGAGAGATAACTGCTCGTCCTCCCTGCACATCCCGGCTAAGCAAGAAGAGGGCGTCTTTCCACTGGCCAACATTCAGTGGTGTAAAGTAACGAAGTAGATTTACTCAAGCACTGTACTACAGTACCATTTTGAGTGGGCTTTACTTGAGTATTTCGATTTTTTGCTGCTTTTTACTTCTACCCCACTACATTTGAGAGGTATACAGTGTACTCTACTCCACTACATTTGTTTTACAACTTTAGTTACTTTGCAGATTTGGATGAATGATGTGAAATATAACCAAGTGTTAAATCAGACTTTAGTTCCACCTGGAGTAATCCACCAGCTACCCTGCAGTATACAAAGTCATTCAAACTAGCTGCACCTTTACCAGCTTTGAGAACACTTTAATGATCAATCATTATAAAACATATCATATATATTATTCTGAAATGGACCAATCTGCACAATGGTTACTTTTACTTTTGTTATTTTAAGTATATTTATATGCCAATGCTTTTGTACTTAGTAACATTTTGAATGCAGGACTTGTAACAGAGTATTCCTACACTCTGGTACTTCTACTTTTTCTTAAGTACAGGATCTGAGTACTCCTCCCGCCTCTGCCAATGTTCCGCCTGACTTTACACACTCAGCAGCCAAGCGGTTTTATTTTTTCAATCCTGAAATTAATCTCCTGGAATCCCTCTGAAATGTCTCCTCGGAGACGGCAGTCAATCCATCGATGATACATTAGACAGGCCTATTAGAGCGCTCATCAGTCTGAGGATCCAGTTCCATCCTGCACTGCTGCCACTCAGCGCCAATCGCATCTTCAATAATGTTTAAAGGCTGCATGAAATGAAAACCACAAGGCATCTTTCAGCGCTGCGCTTTCCAAAAGAGAACAAATAAACTGACTTTACTCTTTTCTGCTGTGTTGCCCTCTGACCTGCCCACCACACGAAGCACATAACCTGCCATAAAAGCAAGAAATATTCAGTCAGGCACTTTTTTTTAACTGCTAATTGGCACAGCATAATGTCTGCCTGCACCCATGCTTCCCGGTGGTTGTAAATATGCAGGAGAGACAGGGTAATAAACTGCTTGCATTACATAGTATGGCGTATATATGCAGGAGTAAGTGATCATGCTGTCTGTGATTACCTCCTTAGATTAGTTTATAATTCTAATACAGAAAAAAGAGAGGAGAGCGGCTTAAGATAGGCGATGTGCGGGATTTACCCAGTGGAACAAAACATTAGTTTGTGAATGTTAATGAAGCTGATATAGAGGTAAAATTAAAAACAGCAGCATAGACGTAGAGGGGGGGGGGGGGGGGTCGGTGAGCCGGAGGTGATTGTTCTACTGCAGGATAAAATATGAATTAATCTCTATTTGTATAGCACTTTTCATACACCAGGCAGGTGCAGCTCAAAGTGCTTTCTCAACATCACAAATTAAAACACAAAACAAGAAATTAATTTCAGGTTGAACGTTAAAACCTTTTTACACACATGCGGCATAAAAGCCCAATGTAACAGTTCAAGGGACACAAGGAGGTAAAAGGTGGGATAATACAAATAAACTACAATCAAATAAATAAGAATCCCTCTCTGTAAAATAAAAGGAAGGCATAAGTTATCATGAATAAATTAAATATTTAAACCTATAAAATAATAAGAAAACAAGTAATAAATAATGAGAATAATAAAGGTTATATTTAAAGGGGATGTCGTTAATAAATCTATAGAATAAATAGATACAAATAAATCAATAATAAAGTTTAAAAGACCAATTAAAAGGAGATAATAAAAAGCTAATCCTTTAAAAATGTCCGCTGAGTTATCCTCTCTGATGTATTGTAAGGTGTCACTCACTCCACGGTCAATAAATTCAGCTCCACTCCATTGTCTATTGTGTTAGACATACAGTAGAGGAAGCGTTGATGTGTTTCCCCCTAAATGTTTGGAGGGTTTAGTGACTGCTGACATTTCAGGGCCCTTTAACAGTGACTAATTCCCAACAAAGCAAAAGGTCCATCAGATCGCCTCCTCTGGTGTTTGATGTCAGTGATAGTGTGAAGACAAAGTGATGCTTGTTGGCTGTCCAGATCTCACGCCAGCCACTGTAGCCCTCGGCCCGACTCTAGCCTGAGGTGAAACAAGCTGGGATGAATGTGTATTGATGTCAGTCAGACATGGATCACAGCAGTCGATGGGTCAACGGCTCCTCACAAGCTCTGCCTTGTGCAATTGTAGCCGGGATTGTTCAGCTCTGACAGGATTCTCGCTTAGCTATTTTTTGTTTCGTTTTTGAACTCTCATTTTATACGCTGTCAAATGACATTAGCGCTTCGGATGGGCTAATAGGAGTGGACTGTTGTGAGATGACAATTTTCAACTCCAAATGAATAATCTCACCCTATTACTGGGCACGGCACAATGACAAAGCGCAGTGCAAGATAACCACACACAAAAGGATCTAGGTTTCCCAGTGTCCTATTCCCTCCTTTGTGCACAACTTGATATTTTCTATGACCAAGCCTTTTTTTTTTCTTCTCACAATGCTCCTTCTGATCACAATCTGTTACATAACCGGCTGATTGAGAAACACCATCCTACCGTCTCCCATGTGACAGCAGTATTAAAAGCACCTAGACGTTGCACTGACAAGATCAGGAAGAGGAGGAGGAAGAGGAGGGCAGGGCATGCAAACAGATAGCTGACTACAGCACAGGTCGTAAATACACAAGATTTATGTCCTCTACACTTCACAATGTCTCTCAGTGAGATAACACGGGGGGGGGGGTAGCAAGATAGCACTATCCTTGTTCCTATCTGCACATGGAGCTCACGATGAAAGGTGAGCTCTGCTACTGTACAAAGTCTGCTCAACAGATTCAAGCAGAAGGTGGTACGAGTCTAAATGAAGAATGACAGTTTCATTTGTTGTCTGATATTCTATTTAGTGCATACGATAAATGGCAGACTTTTCATAGTTCTATATAACCACGTTTTTTTTAATGTTTTTTGGTTGCTATTGTTTTTCTGTATTGTTTTTGTAGTGTTGATTTTATGGCATTCTCGATTACCAATACAAACAGGTTTGGTTGCATTTTATTGTGGGGTTGGATTCATGTCCAAGATTCAGGAAGTGACAGCTCAACTTACAATAAGTGAATTCAACCAGGAGATAAGTCAGAAATGCAACGGTTAGCTTTCACTAAGACAAACCATTGTAAGTGCTACTGCATTGGCTTCAAATAAGCTAACCATTTCTAAATGCCTCCACAAGGACTGAAAATAAAAAGGTCTTAATGAATTGAAGTAAACAACAGCAAACTATTCCAAAACATACAAACTCTCACACAACTTGTACAGCATAACCCAAGTCTAATTTATCAAGCCACTACTTCCCAAACAAATGCATTTCCCCTAAAACCTTACTATTTAAAACACTTCCTTATAAACAATCTCACGCTCTTCCAGGCTGGATATTTGTCCATCGTGTTCTGTTGTTGCTTCATTGCCATTATTAATATTTTGGGGATTATTTGCTCACCTTTGAGGCATGTGAGCAGAACAAAGTTTTCTTCAATAATTCAAGATAATACTGTGTGAGTATTTGACACACAAATGATCATGTTGGGGGTAAAGCATTCCTTTATGCCTTTTTCTCACGCCAATGTATTATTATAACAACATGCCGCAGTTCTTCAGCAGTTCAGAATTGTAAACAGCTTTAAAAATGTACATATAGCTAAAATGAAATGTGAAAGTCACCCTGAAGCATGGAGAAATAAAATGCTGAGAGTTGTTCTGTGAGAAAATAAAGTGAGGGCATGTTGGACCTCTCCGCTCCACACACAGTATGTCCTGTTTCTGCCATTCATACGTCCCCCTGTATCTCCAGCGTTCCAGATGTATTGTCTGAGTTAATTCATTTGTCTGAATTTGCCCTTGCCGTGACCAGGGCTGAGTGGGGAACAAGACTAATTTCCATCCCCGAGCAGCGGCGCACTCTCTGCATCTGATACGGCACATTTGAATGGATATTACAGATAACAATGCCCTCTGTTGGCCCCAATAAGCCTCACGCCGCTCCTCAGGCTCCTCGACCGCCTCCTCCTCCTCAGCCCCTCCTCACTTCCATTTACACTTGCTCGGTTCAGAAGCCAGATGTGTGAACACAGACACATTTAAACTGGTATGATAATCACTTCTGTAACATCCACAACCACTGGAGACCCGGTGACACGTTGAAATGTTCGTTGCTCTAATCCGAAGCATCTCTGCTTTTATTTTCCCTGTTTGCCTCTTCTTAATACTGTTTGCATTCTTTTGTTATCCCCGTTCATCTATTTTCTTATATTGTTTGAATAAATGATTTTGTTTACGCAATTATCACTTGTGGGCGTCAGCACAAAGCGAGGCTGACATTCTGCTTGATTGCATATTAGAGACGTGAGACAGAGATGTGTGTTCGCTTTGAGTTTGGTACTTTGTTATTACTTACAAAAGGATGGAAGATAATTGGCATCTCATATAGACTGAATGTACTAGTCATAGAGAATTCATTGTTCCTCAAGATGATGCCCAAGGGCTTGAAAAAAACTAATCTTGGCAGCTGTTTACAGATCAGTTGCTCTACATCAGTAATAGTGTATCAACAAAATGTACAATGTATTCCTTCAGGAATTAATTATGCCAAAACAGTAAATTAAAGTAGACTGTTTCGTTCTCATAAACGCAGTCAGTTAGTTGAACTGTA